GTGTACAAGTAAAGGTAAGACCATAAACTTTTATTATTTCTAGTTAGAAATAAGCTCAATTGGAATAAATTTTAACCTCAAATTAAATATGGGTCACGTTTGTGTGAAGAATGCTGATATGAGATTAAAACATAACGCATTGTCTGTTAACAGACAATTTGTATTTGTAAATCTGACTGTAAAAGAGTTGGTGCCTCACCAGCTGTCAACCTCACCGCACGTCACTGCACGTAACGCTCCTGCTACATGTTACAGCAGTAGCTTTGTTGGGAGATAAAGCTCATTTTCATTACTGACATGTTCACTCTGTTCATAAAGGCACCAATGTGGCTATCTGTACAGTAGAACAGGTCTGCATGAGTCTAATGTATTTATCTTGCACCTTTCCACTGATGTTTTGCTGCTTGCTGCCTTTACACTATCCTAAGTCAAAGTCTGCATCCCATTAACATCTAATGTCCTGCCTGCCTAATACGGTGTCTGGATTGCAACGCCATGAACAAGTCATTTCTCTTGATCAAGGTAATATTTCCAACATACGTAGGTCAAACAAATCAACAAAAATATAAGGTAAACTGTAGTAACCTTAAAGAGAATTAGGCTACACACAAGCAGCAAACTCAGTGCACGACTACTGCTTATACATTAATCAACTTATGTATCCAGTTTTGGCTACATGTCACAGTTCTACTCTAGGGACATAGATTTTCAAATAAGCACTTATTTACCCATTTTTGGAATAGATCCATTTACCCATATTTATCCATACTCTTATGATTCTTGTACTCAGATTTGTTTATGCAGAACAGGCCAGACAAGGCTGGGATAACTCAAGCAGACCAAGCACTAAAATCTGTGGGTTACAACTTTTTAGACATATCATGGCCATATTACAGGTACACAGGAGTACACTACTTAATCACGTTGATCCACTTTCCTTATTCACTCAGCTCTCTAAACCGAACACCTGCCAGCATGAGCGAATCACGCAGCTCGCATCACGGCTGTTCTTTGTTCATAACCTGCCAATTTCTCATCGGTCTATGCACCATAGCTGTGACAAGCCTGTTTCCACACATCTCCTGCTATCATGTTTCACTGTGCTGCCAAAACATGATTGTATTGTCAGCATCATCCAAGAGGGACAAAATTTTCCAAAAGTTTAACGCATGACTTGGATTGAGTATATGAGTGTGTATTTGCAGCTGAGAGACAGGTGACTTGAAAGTGCTGATTCATGATTCAAAAGAGGTGAAAATAAGCAGCTTGTTCCTTGACAGCAGTAATGTCAAGGAACAAATGAGCATGCAACACGATGGAAAAGCCATTGTGTACATTTAACAAGCATTGTACTTTGGAGAGAGCTTTCATAAAAAGGCTTTTTGGACTTTACACCCTACCATGTAATCCAAGTGGTGAATGATATGGAATTAAATAAACCCCACAATCAACAAAACACTCCCTCAAGCAGATATGTATTTCAACATCAGTTTCACCCAGTAAATTAATAAACTGATGATTGTCATGGATTGAACTTAACTGAACCTCTTATTTCAGCTGGCTTTGTCTTCTTTGATCTATATTGTGCATAAATGCTTGCATATTTACTGAATAGTTACAAAATGGTTATTTTAAAATGCTATAATGTATGTGAGGATTCTATCCTTAACACTTTATTATGTTGAAAGTCTGTTATGAATTTCTTTCCATTTTATAATGTTTGCCTTGTTCGTTGTTTTATCCATGAGTGTGCATTGTGCTAGGCACTTCGAAATGCTGTTGCATATGAAAATGTGCCATATAAATAAACTTGCCTTGCCTTCTGGTTTGTTTTATTTTTGTCTGGTTGTTTTTAAGTTTTCTTTGGTTTTATTAAGGTTAACTAGGTAATGTTATGATCTAATGTTATGTCACAACTCACTGATTATGTGATTATGTTAATTGCTGTATTTCCACTTCACATTATTTGCTTTTTATGTTTTCTAGTTAATTCAGATGACTAATATAATATGTTATGTGTCTTACTGTTATTTGAATGGCTATTTTAACATCTTGCCAAGGGACAGCAGTTAAAATTGAGCTTTTAGCCGATACTGGCATATTTACAGTAATGTTGATTAATATTCACTGTCCCTGAAATAAAATTTAAAAAAAAAATCTGTACAGATTTTAAACTCCTATAAGACAAATGTGTTATATTTGGCTGCATAAATAAAATGGACATGACGGTATAGAATCAACTAAGCTCAAAATACAAATGAGATGTCAGGGTTATGCATACTCTAAGTTCTGCTGAATAAAGTTACCAAAATCCAACGCAAATGAGAGTAATTCAAAGTACTCACAAACACACCCTTACCTGGCAAAATATCCCGGCTTCCTGTCTCTCTTTTCCATCAGGCCAGGGTCCTAAATCTACATGCAGTCAACCGCATCCATACAAACATCCACCCTTATTGTGTCCAACTTTGGAGACGACTGCCTCTCAAAATGTGTTGTGCTTCTGGCGCGAAGGAGGAAAGGGGGGGTGGGGGGGGGGGGTGGAGGCTCAGGGAGTGTGCTTCCTCAATCAACACCACTCACTGCTGTAAAAAGCCTAATAACAGACATTGAAGTTTCGTCATCCTAACTGAAGGGCGATGATGGCCAATAATAAGCATGTCAGGCCACTCAGCTATCACTGGCTGTCCAAAAGGGATGGAAAATGCATCACTCTGCTATAGAGAAAAGATGCATCTGCTTCCGGTTAATGTCATATTAAAGCAGTTTTTATTAAGCTTCACCAGAACAATCTTTTAGCAGAATCGGTCTGGATGTCCATCTTTAGGTAAACATTCAGACCATAGGGCTTCACTATCAGCAACAACATAAGATTAAGCGAAAACAATCAACTGCACGTATGTCTGCAGAAATAAGACACTTGTAGTCCATTTACGCGTAGCCTGCAAGTGTTGTGTAACAGGTAAGCTGCTTACAACTGAGGAAAATGCTAAATTTGCAGGTTTGCCCATCTAATATCATCCTTCAGTTAGAAGCTTGCTCAACTGGAATTTCCCTATGAACCGAAACAATACCAGCTTTCAGCCTCTTCTTATGGTGCAGCAAAATAATAGCAAAAGAAAAATATCCAGTTGTGCCAATGTTAAATTCGTGTAGCAGGTCTAAGCAAACATTGGCACAGTGAAGAGATCCAGTCTTCCAGCTGACCTAACAGCTGATGCTAATGGTGCTAACTAGCCACTTTGTTTACAGACAATAGCGACCTAGTGAAGACGACAAGAAAACATTATTCGGTTCACTCACCAGCCCGGTCTATTAAAATAAGGCATTCCTTTTTTTTTTACGCGAGACACCAAACGTCGATGTGCATCAACGCATTTAAACGCCAAATCTGGTCTAAATCAGGTGGCCCACGTACCTTCCACGCATCCTCAAACAGCTAATGTTAACATCTAAATGAAACCACCCTTCACTGCGCCCTCTGGTGTCATATGCACTGCAAAAGCACAGCCCCTCAGCTGCGTATAACGGTATACGCTATCTGTAGCCTTTAGCTAGCTGGTAACATTAGCTTAAGTTAATTAAGGTTAGCTAGGCTAGGATAGGTCGAATATGAACGTTGAACACTATAGTTAGGTTACTATCTATTTGTACTATATGATATATCAACTCCCTACACCTCCCTGGTGGTCTAGTGGTTAGGATTCGGCGCTCTCACCGCCGCGGCCCGGGTTCGATTCCCGGTCAGGGAATGTGACTTTTTTCCCTGTTAAAATCCTTCTTCGAATATAGAGCGTACAATATTCAATTTTCAAAAATCTTTTCTTGCAGCAGAAAGTATACATTACCCATCTTTCCTGAACGAGAGATGAGTTAAATAATCTGCAACAGCTGGACGTGAAGTAACCTTCACTCTTCTGGCCCTCTCACTGTATTGTATATTACCAGTGCAAGAATACCATGATATTTAGCAACCATTTACAGTAAAATAGCAATATAACGTTTTAAAAATACAAGTCTGTTACCACAGTTTTAATAACATTTTTAGGCAAACTAATAGCCTATTATAGCCTTGTTAGGTCGACGTATGTTAGCTCACTGAAGACTACAGTTCATATAAAAATGGCAGATTAGCGGCTGAAAAATAATTTTATGTAGCGTGTAGGCCTAACTGTTTCACAGTTATCATGTAAACATTTGCACGGGTCCCTGCTGTGTATATATTAATAGAGTCAATGTATATGTCGCCTATTAAGAATCCCTATAATACAGTCATGATCCAGACTCCCGTGTGTGCAGCTCACATACGCTCGACTTTGCCTCCTCCTGACCGCTTCCCAAGCTATTTCTCATATCTACCACCAGGCGGCGACATTCCACTACAAATGGTACAAAACTGCTCTGTAAAAAGAGACCGAAGATACAGTATGTATATTGTAAACAGCGCAAAGAATTAAGAGCCATGTAACCTGAACTTTTCATTTGTTTTTATAAGTTATTAAAGCCCAACATTAACAACAATCTCTGCTGGATGACTAAAAACGTTCTTTTCACTGCAGCATTTTACACTGAAAAAGGGATGTGGGGTGATACAATTAACCTTTGCTATATCATTTCTTCAGGTTGTAGCATAGATTGTATATGAAGATATAAGGTTTGTACAGACTATGCTCACATGCTTTTAGCTTTAAGATGAATGTACTGTAACTGGGTTGTAAATGTAATGGTTTCTACCAATGCCTTCATTAGGCCTGTTTGAATGGAACCTGTTTGAGATAGAGAGCAATGAAGCAGAGATAGTGTGTGTTTGTGGAACTTGGGTCCCAGAGAGTCCTCTAAGGTGGGGAAAGACAGAGACCCTCGCTACACTGAGTTAACCAGTTCCTGGCTGGCTATGTATCTTGGCAGATATTTTGACAGGCGCTATCATTGTGAGAGAGGAGATAAGTTGTTTTAGGGATGTCCATGGCGCCGGTGTGTCCCTTCTCTGGCCTGTTCAGACTATCATCAACCCCTCTCTGCTCCCCCCCTCTTCTTGCCTTTCTTGGAGCAAGGGATTGTGGGGGACTGTTTTGCTGGGAGTGGGATTTGTGTTGGCAGGGAACTTGTGGCTCTGGGTATCATCGTCCCCTTTCAAGACCATCAGAACTTGTGACTCGGAAATACAGTAGGACAGTCAAAATGTCGTCCTCCATCTTCTCCTTGAATCACATTGTCTTTTTTCTCCCAGTCACTCTCAATCTCAATCCTTCTTCAATTCTATTCCTTAGCCCTTACTTTTTATTGCTGTATTTCTGAGAAGGATGGTTTTGAAAAGATAAGAAGGAGAGAAAGGAAATCCGAGGCAGAAAGAGCAGCTCAGTTTCACAGAAATGCAAGTGCTAAAAAACAAGCCAAGGATGAGCTCTGGTAAACGTTTGACTCATCAATGAGTGATATTTCCAAGATGCCCCATCAAACATAAAGAATCTTTGGTCTCCTTGTCAAAGAGAAAAGGAACTAAACAATAGCTGAAGCACATTTTCAGGACGTGTGCGACACTGAGAATGTTCTTAAATGTGCCAACTAGCCGTACCATTTTCAGAAGACATTTAAAACAGATGGTCTTCACTTTCTTTTTGTTATCACATCTCAGTTATGTTAGGTGTTTTTAAGAGTCAGACTATCATTGGCAGCAACTTGTTCAGTGCTTTGTTTTGCTAAGTCAGTGCAAATTAAGATGATATCTTGCTTATATCTTTATAAATTGTCTCACTCACAAAAGTCTGACCCAGCACAGGCCTTGGAGAGATTTAAAATCATTTTACTCAGACGTCATACACACCTAGTTTAGACTACAACAAGTGATAACTTCTAGTACACTGTGACAGCAAGAAGCCGCAAAAGCAAAACAATGAAAAGGATAAGTCACACAAATTATACTTGATAGGGAATATGGGACTCATAATTCATTATAATGAATTAAACCTTTTAAAATACTGCTATATTTTAGGAAATCTTCTATTGGACAGTGTGTTTTTCATCTATGTTTATTAAAAGGCAAGAATGCAGACAGATTGTTGTGCAGTAAACCAACTGTTGTCACTTTGTGTAGATTTTACAAGGACCAAGCTAAAATAAAAAAAGAAATTGCCCATAACCCATAAGTTAAATGCAGTTAGATCAGCCTGAGGGTAAAATGTTGTAATAATACACTAAGTCAAAACTGACTAATATTATAAATGCTTGGTAGAGGTCAGGGACGCCAACATAAAAGACATGTGGTTCAATGAGATTTGCACATTACTACATTACAATGAGCTGCACAACACAAACTATTAAATGTGTAAATGTCAGGTGTAACTACACAGCTAACTGATCCACTGACATAGCTAACACTATGGTTAGTATCTGTCTAAGTCAACAAAAAGGGGATACGGTAAGACACATCTGAAATAACACCTGATTAAAATTCTGTTTGATACCAGCGTAAAACAGACAAGTTTTAAATGACATTAACAAGATAGAGCTACAAAACAAAATGCTAATAATGTCAGACTGAATAAATACATATTCATAAATTAGATTAATGGCGTCGCTAGGTGGATTTCCTCACCTTTAGACTGATAGAACAAATACTGTAGATAATTGCCCTGTTTCCTGCCTTTGTGCTGAGCTAAGCTAACCTGCTGCTTGGTGGTTGCTTTATATTTACTGTACAGACATGAGAGTACTGTCAATCTTTCACAAAATATCAAAATGTCCATGTAATAGAGTGACTCAAAATGAACAAATCACTAGTTTGAAACTAGCTACTTCTGTTAAAATTTAGAAAGACTTACTGATGGAGTTATGACCTAATCCTGGTCAAACTAGTTTGTGCTTGGCTGTAGCAACGGAAAGTTGATATTGTTTTTAAAATTTGTGCATAACAAATCAGAAGATGTAAGAATTTAGATGTGATGGAGACACTCACCACTCTGTTGGTGGTCTAGAGGAGTCCAGAGTGACTACGAGACCACCTTCTAGGTTACCATGAGGTTAATGACCCCCTGCACGCACGCATTCCCTTTGCATACACACATACTGGCCTCTTACACAAGGCAGTTAACAAAGAGGGAAGAGGGGAATGAAAGTGATGGAGGCATGACTTGAAACAGCTCTATACTGTATACCATCCAGTGCCACTACACACACTGTCAATCTGCCAAGTCAGCTGAGGAACTGCAGCCACGACCTTTGACCCAAGAACTGAACAGCAGGGGAAAGGTTATCAATGTCAGGGTTTTCGTTATTAAAGCTCAATGTCCAGACAGTTGGAGGAGCCTCGCCTCGAAAATGGAGCAGACAGTAGAGGACCCCGACAGAGAGACGGGCATGTCACCCCCTCAAACACATGCACACACCCTCTCATCACTGTTTTTTGATCACATGGTAGAGGAGCAAACAGCGCATGGTTGTTTACTTTGCTTATCAGCCGTGTTGTAACAAGTAGAGCAACACACAGGTTGACCTCAA